CCCCAAAACCCCAAAACCCCAAAACCCCATGTGATAGAATTAATCAGAGAAAATTTAAAATGATATTGAAATTCAGGATTAGTTAAATTCTTACAACTTGAACTTCATTATTTAATCAGTGTAACTGTCATTCTCAGCTATGGGATTATACCATACTATTTCCTCCTTTTTACTTTTTAAATGAGGAAACTTGCTATTTCTTAACTTACACAGTGTTTGTTCTTTATTAGAGAGGAGAGAAGGGTTAAGAATTAGCAGAGTAAACGTTAGTAATGGTATTGCCATCGTAATCTTCTTCTGATTTGAATTCTTCTGGCTAGCTTTTAATTCTTACATGAAGAGTTTAAGATCTTTGATTGTCAATTTGATCAGTGAAAGTTTCGATATGTTAATGATCTGACTCTTAATATGAATCTTTACTAGAAACTTTAGGATCAGTGATTTGTACTAATTAGTGAACTGAATGATACTAAAATAATTTTTCATTCTTGATTTTAATTCTATCTTCAAGGGCAGTTCTTAGCCTGAAAGATCTCCAGGCTCTATATATTATTGCAATGGCCTGTTAATGCTTCATTTCATATTGAAACTCTTTATCGTCACGCAACTCTTCAAAGTCATTCTACAAAATGGTAAATTTGATGATTGAATAAATTAGATTTTTAAAATTTACCTTCTTTTGCTATAGTTAATGATGTCTTTTGTCTCTATCTCTCTATATCTTTTTTATCATCCTTATTCTCTATTAGAAAAACTTTGTTTCTTTATCTTCAGCATTTTCTACTGTGTCCTAGGAGTCTTGATGAAAGTTATTATCATATAACTAATCATCCTTATTGGGAGGGGATTGTAAATTATAGGTATACGGGCTTTTAAGTCCATATGTTGGCAACTTCTAATCAATACTTATAATATAAATTATCTACTTTGACTTAGTGTCTCTTCTTTTACTCACCAATACCTATTAAAAGCTTAAAAAAATTATTTTTGGATACTTACTCTTTTTTTAATAGCTTCAAACAAAGCAGATGGATTATCTCTATGCTTAGAAAGAAATTAAGGTAATCTTTCAGTATGAGTGACTATTTCATTGCTTAAACGTGGTACTGAAAACTCTCTTAGCTTAATGTAAACCAAATCTTTAGTGTAATTCCAAAAAACACTAATATCAAAAAGTTGATTTCCTGTTGGTTAATTACCTAACGTGTAAATAAATCTTCCAATTCTTTGACTCAGTCTCATACCATTACCTTCTTTCTCTTATCTTCTTTTAGCTTTAATAGCCAATCTAGCAAGAAAGCCCTTGATGCAGCATTAAATAAGTCTAACTGCTTTTTAGAAGCTATATTTGGGCTTTAATATTGTGTTTGCTGAATTTTATACTCCTTGCCCTTATATTTCTTTTCCTCTAATTTAGATATTATCAATCAACAATCCACCATTACCATTATGACAAACAATTTATTTACCAATACCGACAAAACTTTCAATTGAATCTCTTAAAGGATTTTTACCAGTGTTTAAAATAGCTTCTGGTAGATTTAGAGGCCGTACCTTGGGACTTTGATCCTCATATGTTACTTACTTCTTTTGCCCATGACCAAATGGAGATCGTGCACTTGGCAAATTATCTTTATTAAGATTAATAGACATGCTTGTAATGTAAATCTTAAAAAGAGCCTTATTTCTTTCTTGCTATTATTCTGTATTATTCTCTAGTTTGAATTCTCTAACGAATTCGTTGAATATGTTAATATTCACATTTTCAAAGTCTGTCTTAGGAGTGATTGTATCTCTTTAATCATTTTTATAGGGAGTAATTATCTGCTCGTTGAAGATATTGGCCTAGGTAAGCTCAATTATTTCTTGTCTATCTAAGAAATCTGAAACTTCTGGAGCCTTATCTATGCCACCTTTTACATTACTAATTGGATCTTTGAAGTCAGAATGAGAAATATCTAAAGATCGATGAGTAGATGTGTGAGCCTGAATCTCAGCATCCTTCTTTTTATCAGTATGCATGTAATTATGGAATTTATTCAGCAATTCATCGAACTTAGCTAATTAGTCGTCGCGATAGGTATCAAACTTAAGATTCTGTACTTTTCTGGCAGAATTGCTATACTCACTGGAGACCTATAATTCACTTTGCTAATGTGCAGATATAGATACATCTTGACACTAGACTGGAATGAAATTTCCTAGTACATTATAATCATCTTTAGAATCGCCTTCAAGATCTTATCTAATGATAGGGATATCTCTATTCGATTTATTATCTCTTCCAATAGGAGCTCTGCCGGGGGAAGGTGAACCCTTAAAAGAAGAATCTGAGGAGCTATTATCTAAATTACCTCCAAAACTGATGTTGATTCTATTTTTCTTATTTTTCTTTCCCTTTTATTAATAGTTCATATGCTTCCTTAAAATTAACTAGAGATCCCTAGTTATGGGATGCCTGGAATCGTAAAGGAATTTTTAGGTTATAAGTAGCGCTAGCCTAATCTCATTTAAAGCTGAGTTAAAGTCATTTTTGTGAATTAGTAACTGATATTTCTACTTATAACAGTCAGAAATGAGAGATACTAAATATTCAAGATCTGGATTCTGGTAGATATATTACTTTTAAGAATAAAGAAGAACTTCTTAATCATATCTCCTAATTACCATGTTACCTAGAGTCAACGCCTCAGTCAAAGTTGCATAGGATCTTTGAGGCCTAAAAGAGTAGTTGGGATGTATATATAACTTACATGGCAAGGTATAAGAATGCATGACTCATGTTGATATAATTTTCCAACATTGAAATTTATATATACTAGTCATTTTGAAGATCAAAATATGCGCTACCTGCATCATTGCTTGCCTTAAGATATCTCAGAGACACATCAATTAAATTTTCTCTAAAAAACATTGAACATTTGAATAAATTACTTGTTGAAATGAAAGGCCATCATTTTATAGAGCACGTGAAAGTAAAACTCCTTCGTTTATGACATTGCACTCTCCAACTTTACTAGGTCTTCCTCAAACTGCAACATTACTTACAATGCCTCCTAAGTTCTAAGTTGTCTTGTTAATTATTGATGTTATAATAGGAAATTATCCCATTAGCTCTAGAATGTCGGGGCTTCATGTAATGGAATAAGATTAGATTATTAGGATGAGTAATTTCTCTAGTTAAATGAATTAGTATTAAGGCTGTTTCTGTTGTTTTCAAGAAGTGAAGAGGTTGTATAATTAACTTTATTTACACTTGGCAAGATAAGTGACTGAGGCGATTTGTCGCTCTCTAGTGGCGATATTTCTAGTGGACTCTTGAATCTCTCAGTAGTCACTGGGATAATTGTTTCACAATTCGGTCGTAAGAAATTAGCTGTATTATGAATGCTAGTCGATTTCTTTTTTGTACTCATTTTATTTTTTTTGCTCTAGAGTGAACATCTTTATTTAAAACCTGACTCGCTAGCTGATGTTGTAAAACTACTTTGGAAAGAATTTTATGACATTACTCCCACTTTATCAATATCTTTGTTGTGATGCTTAGTCACAACGATCTCTCTGTACTTCTTAGACTTTGTAGAAGCAGGTCTTTTCATGTCAATGATCTTTTTTTTAGAATTTTATCTTGTTTTAGAGTTGGAATTTGATATCATCGCAAATAACTATTAACCTTAAAATTAAAGTTTATATTTTAATCTTTAAATCCAATTTCAAATATAAATGCTGTTTTCTGGGGTTTTGGGGTTTTGGGGTTTTGGGG